AACTCAAGTATTAAGAAGTGTTGCTTGCACACATGAAACAGGCCTTAAGGGCTTTCACTAAAATAATATCAATTACTAAGAAAATGGTATTAAAAAAATTAGAAGTTAATAATACTACAATGAATAGGCCTTAAGGGCACTCAACAAAATTATATCCAGCACTGAGAAAATGGTATAAATAAATAAGACCTTATTAACTCCACCCTGAATAGGCGTCAGGGCACTCAACAGAATTATATTACCCCAACAGATGCACACTTCCTAACCTAACTTAAACACTACTCTGGGGAACAAAGGTTATACCTGAGATCAGAATTATAAAGAAAAATTAAATGCATTAAAGGAATTAAATCACAGTATCACTCTGGTTTCAATTAGTGACACAAATATTAAAAAACAATATTATCAAAATTATTTAAGAAATATTAAACTACACACATCAAGATAATATCAGTAACTGAAAAAATGATATTAACTACACCCAAAAATATTATCACTGTTATTAAGATGTTACTGGGCCCACAAGCCCATGACTGTGACCGGGGAACGCTACCTCTGGACCACCAGGATACTAAAAGCAGCCCTAGACTCTGTTATATTTCACACAAAGCCTACGGGTAGTCCCCATTAGAGGTTCACGGCGCCATAAGCTCATTGAACAGGCTTTGTGTGAAATATACAGAGTCCAGGACTGCTTTTAGTATCCTGGTGGTCCAGAGGTAGCGTTTCCCGGTCACAGTCATGGGCTTGTGGGCCGTTGGTTCGAGTCCTGGCGGGTTGAGGTGTTGAGTGCAATTGTCAAATCTTCCAGTTTTGTCTCCACTTATTCTGTCGTCTAAAGTCCCTTGGAGTATCCTTGCCCTAGCTCCACAGTGCTTACTCAATATAATCGCCTTTACGGCAATTATGCGATCACAGGTTAGGGAGACCCAATACATGGACACGAAGCATATAATTTGGTCAAAACCTGTCAAAGACAATTATTACATCAGTAAACATTTGATATAACATTCCTTAGCATAATGAACTTAGGATGATAATACAACTACCATGGGATATTAAGCACATCCTCTAACATAATGGACTTGACACAATAAAATACTGGTAGAATCTCGTCTATGCACTAATGTTACATAAACAGACTTACGTATTTTCGGATCTTAGGGGAAGTGGGGGTGTTCCCTCTAGAAGTAGGGGCGTTTCCTGTTCTGCTCCGAGGCGTGTTCTGCTAGCCGAGGCAACGGGCAGGATATGGCGTCTGGTTCTTTTTAACAGATAAGCACATTCCAACGTCTTCACATATCAACACCCGCCCAGTGCCTCCACTCAGTACCCCTCCACTACATCCTACCTCCCTCTCTCCAACTTCACTACCCAGTAATCGCCGAAACTTAAATATTTCCTGGTTCTTCTCAATGGCGGTAATACTCAACCTTTATACTTCCCAAGCTCACCTATGCTTCCTCTGCCTGGTTTTCCTCCCCAAATGCCACACAACGGAAGAGGGCGTGCAAGGTTATTCTCTCCCCCTACTACTCCACATATCAAGAAGCGCTCAACACACTGACTCTCTCGGCTCTCTCTGATCATCTCCATGGCTTCATCTGCAAATTTGGAGAGAAGCTTCTGCACCATTCTCGACACCATCTCCTGCTTCCACCCGAGATCCCATGTCCAGTCCATACGAGTGCACAGTGGTTGCTATAAGAACAGCCAAATCCCAACCATTGTAAAAATTATCAACAACTCATAGTTAACCAGTGTGTTCACTCCCTGCCAATCTTAATTTTGCACTGTAACTTTTTTTTTTTAGAATGCCCCGAGGGGGCTAGTTTATTAGGCACCCCCTTACATCCTGTGCAAGGTGAAGCGCAGAAGCGTTTACAGCGCCCATCTGGGAAGCATGTGTAGTTCATGCTTGCCTTTATGACTCATGATTAAGGGCGTAACAGCCTGAAGGTTCATGGGTTTTGTAAGCAAGTTACATAAAGTGACACAATGATGAGTGTGTGAGGGGAAAATTCCCGGTACAATTTATCTGTTTACGGCAAAGCATGACAGGTCCCTAAAAAGGTCAAGTGCCAGGCTATAGGCATTGACGAGGGACATACCTTTTAGCATGACCTCATGGTGGTCAATTGATGTGGAGAACTGGGGTGGATGGGCCCCAGGTGCCAGCATGCCGGTGGTGGACGGGGAGCCAGGGGTGGTGTCCTCGGGTCCAATAGGGGGCCCTGGTGAAGACAGCTCAGAGACATGAGCAGGTGCGGCTTGCGGTGGGTGGACAGGGGCAGCAGGGCATGCCAGCAGTAATACCAGGCGGCAGTGGAGTAGGCCGTGAGCAAGAGGGGCACACAGGGGGGCTACCAGCTTGTGTCAAACCAGAAGAGGGGGGTGACTGGGTAGCAGCCGAAGGCAATGGTAGTCTGTGTAGGTTGGAGATGGCGGTACAGAGTGTATCAAAGAGTTTCTCAACACCTTGGTAAATTCGTGGAAGAGGGACATGATCTGTGTCGTTTCTCCGGAGGGGGATTGTGGGGGGGGCACCGATGGGAGCACAAGGCCTGATAGCGTCAGAGTAGAGACGGGGAGGAGGCCCAGTAGTAGTTGAGGTGGGAGACGGCCGGGACTGCTGTGTTGCAGCCAGGTGAGTCCAGGCAGGTGGTATTGAAGAAAGAGGCGTTGCTTGAGACAGAGGAAGGGACGCAGAGGGAGGCGGCCGGGTAGGCTGGAGAGGAGGTTGAGGCAGCTTTCGGGGAGGCTTTTCTCCTGGGACAGGCAGACGTTTGGGGCATTGCCGTGAGTCAGCATTGTGCCAGCCACCACAATTACAACACCGGGGATCAACAACATAGCCCACACCACCCCCATTGAGGTGGTCTTTGATTTTCTGGGCACAGACGGAGGAGTGATGGTTACGTGAACAGAAGCGACATCTAGAACGATCACGTCGGCAGCAGGCGGTGAAGGTGTGACCCCAATGGGAGCAGATGATACAAAAAACAGGCCCAGGATGATAGGGTTCTGCATAGAGTGGAGGGAGGACTGGGTGGGCCTCAACACTGGTTGGGAACTCCCTCCCCTTCCATTTAACTATGACAGCTGCTTGTGGGGTCTTTCCCCGGTAGTGTCGACCTATACTGAGTATACGTGGATTAAAGTTACGAGCATCTTCGATTTCAGCGTATCGGGGGAATTGTTTAAGTAGGATGTGGCAACATTCCACTGCATTAGCAGGTGGCGGCACGAGGACAACCCCATCAAATCCAACAGTACTAAGTGTTTCATAGACCTCAGGAGTCTGACACTTGATAAAGTTACGGTTCCTACCTTTTCGGAATTGAATGTTTAGAACGTGTTGTCTGTAGTACTTCATCATCCAATTAAGCCGTTCATCGACGGTTTTCAGTGAGTCCTTGGGGAAGTGCAGATTCAGCTTACCTGGTTGGTTGGCAGAGGGGTGGGTGGCGAGGGGTGTTGCCTCTCTGGCAAGTGTTTCCCATAGAAACATTACTGGTACTGTCACTATCACTGAGGTCTGACTCTTGCAAGGTGTGGGATGCGGTATGACTATCCGTATCAGAAATGTCGTATCCATGAGAGAGGAGGGGATGCTCTTCTGGGGCTTTTACGTCGACCTCGCCCCCCCCATCACTGGCAACACTTGCCGGCGAAGGGGTAGGTAGAGACTGAGGTGGCCTTTGTGTGACGATTGGGAGGACTGGAGCACCTATGGGGACACGTTTGTCCCCTTACATGGTCAGACCGTGACTGGCACTGTAACTATGTTGAAATTCCCTGTTGAATGACCTTCTCACCACCTAAGTATTTTAAATTTTTCCACATTAAATTGCATCAGCTATTTTTCAAACCAATGCAGAATTTGTTTTTTTTAGATCCTCGTCAGATTTAATTATACGCCCTATTTTAGTGTCGTCGACAACATTTACTATACCTATGTCCTTTATGTATATATTAAATAGTAATGGTCCAAGTAAAAAGCCTTGGGGCACTCCACTAGTGATGTTACCCCAATCGGATTTAGTGCCATTAATGCTTACTCTCTGTTTCCTGTCCTGTAACCACGCCCTAATCCAGTTTAGAATATCTCCTCCAGTTCCATGGCCCTCCACTCTATGTATTAGTCTTTCGTGGGGGACTCTGTTGGAGGCTTTGCTAAAGTCGAGGTATACCACTTCATAATTGTGTCCGTCTTCCACTGATTCGAAAACATTTGAAAATAATGATAATAGATTTGTCAGACAAGAACGCCCAAGTATATATTGGCAAAAGTGGGCTATCTGTTCACATTTGGCGCCAGTGGTGTACCCTATAACCATCAACCTGCTTGAAAGCTAAATTGATTCATCATTGTCCGTCAAGGAGAAGGTATACTTTTGGCTGAGCAGTCTGCTTACAAGTGTCGAAATATTCACATAACTAACTTTTTAACAGCAACACCTTTAAGATTTTATTAGAGTAAATTATATCACCAGGTATCTATATAGATGACTTCCCGTATTTCATGTAGGGTGTAAAGCAAAAAGAACTACTATGGTGGCGTACTCTTATTGTTGTTTTTTACCACTGTAGAGAGAAGCCATTTATTACTGTGCCATACACCAATTACACCACCTCGATCCCGTAAGATTAGATATAAGTGCTTAATCACATGTTTAGGTCGTATGGAGTCAATAAGGATGGAACAGATGACGCAAGAGGTGCTGGTGGGAGTGGCCGAGGGACAGGCCCGGGGATAAAGGAGTGGCCGGGGGTAGGGTCAGGGAGCAGGGACGACGGCTGGCCAGCGGGACAGGGTCACCCGGGGTCACTAGTAATCCCGTAAACAGAAAGTCACCACGAACTTATTACTTTTATCACTAATGATATAATTTGCCTTTCAATAATTATGTTGCTGTCACTAAGAGGGTGATAATAATGTTGAGATCCTACAGTTTTGTCAGTTCACAAATATTCCTTTTTGTCGATCTCACTCACAGAAGGTAAGTCCCGTGTTGGCCTTGCATGTTGACGTTGGTGATGATCACGTGGACACACCTGCTGGGGCCAGACTTGGTGTGGGAGCATCAGCAAGGAGTTCCCACTACGTGTTGAAGCAAGAATATTGACTGGTAATGAGATCATCGTCATTACACCGGCGGTCTAAGAGTCTCCAGAACGACGTGTGATCCTGTAAGTCACAAATATTATATCCTTAGTTTCTCTTTGATACAAACACGTAATACAATTTTCATTAATTTTTATATCTCATTCTTGACAGCACCTTAATATTTGTTTATTCTTTATTTATATTTATTATGGCCATAGATGAACTCCTTTCCATTAAATAAATTAGTTTTTACCATTGTTCCCTTCCATTTACGGACTACTGTACTGTCCACTTGTATATGACTAATTGCCGCTTCTTTTAGTCGGATGAGGGGGGGAGGGGGCGTCACCCTCAGTGGGAGTTACCTAACCGGGGTTTTGTCCTGTGATTTCGTAGAGTGTAGGACAAAAAACCCAGGCTTTTGTCCTGAGCTGTTACTTTTTGTTCAATTTTTTGTTCAATGATGTTGGATAAAATGCTACAATCATGCACATTACTTGGTGATCCTTAGTCTATACCCATATATCCTTATTTATATATGCAAGTAAATCATTGTAGGTGCGCGTGATCCAAGTATATGCTGATAACCACAAGGAAACAAGAAAACACGAAGTTCCCAAGCGCTTTCGTGTAATTCACATCTTCAGGGGTGAGTACAGACTAAGAAGTAATACTTGACAAGGCTAATATATACATATTTCTCCTTAGTCTGTACTCACCTCTGAAGATGTGAATTACACGAAAGCGCTTGGGAACTTCGTGTTTTCTTGTTTCCTTGTGGTTATCAGCATATACTGTACTTGGATTACGCACACCTACAGATATTTATTTTTAATTTTTTTGCACTATTTCGATGTAGAATTTGATGCTGTTTATAAGATTTTTCAGCGAAACCCAAGGAGGTTTAATATAGGTGAAACCTCAACAAAGTACTTGTTTCACCACCTTTTTCTTGCGACACAAGCGATACACTTTTGGTGTGATTTCATATAAGAAATTATTTTGTTTTGGCATTTGGTCTTTTTTTATTTGGGGAACAATTTTTTTTCCGGTAACCTTTTTGAGGATTTTATCTTCATGACTTAAAACTACTTCTACCATACACATTATGTTTAGGTGAACATTTGTTAAATTTTGTCTTTGTAAAATCTTTATCCTGTTTCATACTTTTCCGGTTTCTGTATACAAGTATTATACTTGTATTTTGTGAGGAATTTGACATATTTTTTTATTCTACTGATTAAATTTTTTCCTGGTAACGTTTATTTGTGTATGGGTTGTATTAACTCGTAGTCTAATGCTACTTCATCTTGACTTGGTCTCTGTTATAATGTATCATTTTCTTTTGCTGCCCGACACTGAACAAAAATCAAAGCAAATATCTTTTTCTCCCGGGAAGGAGAGCGAGGAGTTATCCTGCTGACCCGTCCTAAGCAATTATTATCTGCAGTAACACCTGCTGCCGCTAATGAGTCTCACGATGACCAGGTGTCTCTCTCACACCTGTGGGAAAAATCCTCCTAACACATACAACCTTCCCCGAGGCTGCACACCTGTATTGTTTAACCCAAAGTAATTAGTGCCCTCCTCCCTTCACGATCACACCATCTCCGGGTTCCCCCCACCCCCATGTGCAGCGGACTAGAAGGGTCTGGCGCACACTTGTTCAAACAGGTTTGATGGAGAGTGACAATGGATGCTTACTAAATCCCCGAGAATGGTAATTCCTTTTGTATCGTGGGTATAATATTGCACTCCAGCTGTGAGATGATCCAATCCTCACCCAAGGTATTATGCACTGAAGAAATTAAATTAATTCATCTTTTTATTTATTTTTTCTTGGTAAAGGAAGTTTGCTATTTAGTATTATATAATTTGCATATTATGTACGGGAATGAGAAGAGACAAGTGGAATTATTAAAATACTGATGAAAATCGTCCACCTTACCCACAAGATTGATCACCGAGTACTAAGCCTAGTGGCTACCAGTATTGTTACCCGTAATGGTTTTTGTTTCAAACTCCACCTTTATCTTCAATTGACACAAACACTGAGAAAGATAATTTACATGTTATCGGCAAAAGATCTAACCTTTATATAAAAAGACAACAGAGAGAAAGACAACTTTAAACACTGGCAAGTTTGAAATGCTAGTCAGCATCGCATGGATGCTTCTTACTATCTGGGTACAGAAGTTAACAGTACTATGGTGTATTTACCAGGGAGGATATACAGTACCTGTGCTCTTAGGTCTAGATGTATCAGCTGTAGGTATCACTAAAACACCTAGCAGTCTTGATTTCTTAAAGGGGGCATCTTCTAAAAACGTTGAGCAGCGTTAGGCCACTCCATTCTTAACACTGTGTTGGTCCAAGACACCAGAGATCCTGATGGTGGTGGTACAGGATGTGGTGTGGTGGTAGGACTAGGACATGAAGGACACACCTTATCCTGATGGTGATGGTGGTGCAGAAACAGTGGCAAGGGCAGAACTGGGTGTGATGGGTCATAGAGTAGTGAGATTTATACTCTGTCCCTCTGATGATATCGTTATTTGGTGAGAGCGATGTTAGAGAACTCTCTCTCTCTCTCTCTCTCTCTCTCTCTCTCTCTCTCTCTCTCTCTCTTGTCCACACCTCAGCATCCCAGGCGCTGATCAATAGGAAAACAACTTTCGCCTTCTACCTCCCCCCCCCACCCCTCTATAAGAGTGAGGTGATGTACCACCTGGGGCGTCACCTGGGGCTGGCGGCAGGTGTGCTGGGTCAGGTGTTGCCCGCCCATCAAGACACGGCTCCCACAACAATTACAACTTCTGTAGTTTCCAATAATGAATGTTCGACGTGATGTAATATACTGTAAACTTTTTTTCCTCTCTTTTAGGGATTAGAGAATAAAGCTCAAATTACATTCGCATACTCGTACCTCAAGTAGTTCTCAGAACCTAGTGATTCAAAACACAGTGTAGAAGAGCTTATAAGTGTTAAACACTTTAATCATATACATTAGGAAAATACGTTATCACATGTACCATAATTAATTATATACTCATGATCAGCTTGGAAGAGCTCGGTTGATATAGACTTCTCAAGCTTGAAGCTGATGAAAGTGAAGAATGTGTCAGGAGTTAGTGATGTTGCACATGTCTATGAATTTACATAATATTTAAATGTGTGCTGCATATTCATTTTGTATCAGTCACCGCTGCAGGAGCAATTTTCTATGAACCAAGCATAAAGAAAAGATGTGTGTATTTTGTTATAATTAGTTTATTTGTGCATTGATTGTGAATTATTTTGGTTCTAGGTAGTTCCTAATATTTAGTAGTCACATAATATTATGTATTTGTACAAAGAAGTTTTGAGCTTATATTTTGGTTGTGAAAGATGTAGGCGAATCGAAGGTTGTGAGGGGAGGGACTACCAAACTGGTGGTGAAGAAACACACCAAGGATGCGACAACAACAGCTAAGTGTACCAACTCGTTCAGTCCCTTGATAGACGGAATGGACGTTAGTACAGTCAGGGACAGGGCTGACAAGGAAGGTATAAAAACTTTAATTGTTGGTGACTCACAGGTAAGGTACTTGGACAGAGCCTTTTGTGGTAAAAATAAAAATAGGATGAGGGTGTGTTTGCCAGGGTCTGGGGTGGGGGATATAGTTGACAGGATGGACAATATCTTGTCTGGTAATGGGAACAAACCCATTATCTGCCTCAGTGCAGGAGGCAATGATATTGGCCGGTCTAGGAGTGAAGAGCTTCTTGATAAGTTCAAGACAGCTGTAGATCGTATTAGGACTAAAGGAGGGATCCCTATCATATGTAGTGTCCTGCCTAGAAGGAGAGTTAGCAATGAATGGTTGTCAAGGGCAGTTGTTGTCAACGGCCGTCTTCACGGATATTGCAAGTCAATATCAGTCCCATTCATTGACAACTGGGACAACTTCTTCGGCAGAAGGGACCTTTATGCTAGGGATCGGGTACACCTGTCTCCGGATGGGGTGGCAACCCTGGCTGGGTCTCTAGAGGGGGCAGTTTAAAAGATATCGAAATCTGTAAACTGCTAGGGGAACATATGGACACGGGGGTGCAGGAGACAGCAGTGGAAGCCGGTAAACAAAGTGAAAGATTACAGGGAAATAGTGTTAGGAATGATGACAAAACTAAATTAGACAGGGAGTGTAAACCTAAACGCGGTAAAGGGAGAACTCAGAACACGACTAACTTAAATGTCTACTACGCGAACAGCAGAAGTATGAGAAAAAAAAATGGATGATATTAGGGCCTTGGTATGTACCGAAAAAATCGATATAATAGCATTCACTGAAACATGGATCAACCTAGACTCACGTGAGTTACCGGTCGAATACCAAATTGCGGGTTACAAATTGTTCCATACCGATAGGCACACCAGGAAAGGAGGCGGAGTAGCAATCTATGTCAGGGATAATATGAAATGTGAAGTAAATAAGGAAATAAAAACTGAGCGGAATACAGAAACAATTTGCATAGAAATAATCGACTGTAGGAAATATTTTATCACAGGGGTAATATATAGACCTCCCAATCTTGATAGAGTAAATGAGCGACGTATTTGGGATGAAATGTGCAGGGCTTCTATACACAACAAAGTCTGTATAGTAGACGACTTTAACCTTGGCCAAAGAGATTGGACTGACCTTGCGGGTAACTCAGAATCAGAGGATTTTCTCGAAACGATCCAGGACTGTTTCCTAAGTCAATATATAACCGAACCTGCCCCGGGTAATAATATACTCGACTTAGTTCTGTCGAACAGAGAAAACCTCATTAGCAATGTCGAGGGAGGGAACCAGCTTGCAAACAGAGATCACAAAGAAATTAGATTCCAGTTAGATTTTCAGGGTAGACGTAAGGAAAATTCCACTAAAGTACCAGATTTCAGAAGGGCAAACTTTGACAGTTTGAGGAGGCAGCTGAGGGAGGGGGTGTCGCACTTGGGGGTGAGCTATATGACCTCACATGAGATGACCTCACTCAATGCACCCACAGAGGGCGACCTCAACGTACCAGGAGACCTGACGGTTGAGACTGACCTGAT